ACAGCAAGGAGCTACGAAACCTGGACGAGTTCCTTGGGAATCAGGTGAGATCACAACTTAAGAGGGAGATGGAGCAGGTTTCTAACTTGAGTTTAAACCTATACGACTCTCTCGTTTATACCATAAATGTGCTATTTTCAGGACTTACTTCTTAGGTAGATTATCATTGTACACATAGATGGGTACCATGAAATGGGTCTCAGTTATAGCCAGCCCAGTTATTTTACACAACCTTAAAACCAGATTTACAAGTTATTTAAATAATGCCTTTTTTGGCAGTAAATATTGTCCATATTTAGCACATTATTTCCTGTCTTCAGCTTCAATATCAGCTATCCACGTTTAGAAAAACTTCTAGTTGTTCACATTTTCCTCACCTTTGTCATCAGGTGAATGAGCTGCAAACTAGAAAGGATCGGTCGCCAGCTGAGACGATTTTTCTCACAGCCACGATGCAGTTCAGAGAGAACATCAAAGGCATGTACTCTGTCCAGGTCAGTCAGTGTTTTAACTTGTTGGCTCAAATGACAGAGGAATATGGAAGGCAGCTTTTTTTATGTTTTCCTTGTGAAAATCTTCATTTTTTTTTTTACACTTTTACTGACCAAATAGCTTGAAAATAAAATGCTGAATAACTGCACTTTCTGTTGGCACCATCAGAAGCCCCAGATTCACTACAAAGATCTGATGAAAGGCTTCCATAACAAGGTGAACACGCTAGCAGGACCCACTGAAAAGGGAGAAGTTCCAATGGTGGTAAACCTCTTCCAGTCTGTGCTGGACGGCTTCATCAGGGCCACAAAGAAACGAGCAGCGTCTGAACCTGCAAAGGTAAATTTTATTGCATTCGGTCGATCCTCAGTTGCTAAAATACTTTAAGAGTACAGCTCATATATATGTATATTTCCCTTCTGGGTTCTAGACGTTGAAGAAGAGAAGGAAAAAGGATAAAAGTGTAAGTGAAATATCATAATTGAATTTACTTCTCGTGAATCTTGCTGAGTCTCATGAGGGATCTTGCTTTATTTCTTGTGTCTACAGCTTGACAGTCCTCTGGATCACCTGTTCAGCACATACCAGGTGAACATTATGCAGTCATGTGACTTGTGTGGCTCCTACATCTGGGGAATGGAGAAAGCCTATATGTGCAGTGGTGAGTTAAGAAAACAATTTGTATGAGCATTTCAAGAAACAATAGACAGTTCAATTTGACTGTGTTTTCCTCCTGTTTTTATTTTAGCGTGTAAGTTGATATGTCACAAGAAATGCCTGAGCAAAATCATCACGGACTGCTCGACACGGTGTGCCAGGCAGGTAGGTATTTTTCAATCAAATATCGTAGTATGAAAGAATAAGTATAAAAACGTTCCCTCTTATTGCTTGAGACTCATGTCTACTCTTCTTATCTTGTGATAGGATGGCAATTTACGACCCTCAGCTCACTTTGGCGTGCAGGTGTGCGCCCTCACCACTAAAGCCAACCCCGTGCCCATAGTGATGGAGACGTTGCTGATGCACGTGGAGCTAAACGGCCTCTACACCGAAGGGATTTACCGCAAGTCGGGCTCGGCCTGCCGAGCGAAGGAGCTTCACCAGGTTCTGCAGAAAAGTAAGAAATTAATGAAAGTTGAAATGCACGAAGTTTCTAGAAAAACTATTTTACAAGAGTATAAATTCTAAAAAAGTCATCAAATCTCCAGAACCTAATGGCAAAAAAAGCCATTTAAAATAACCTCTTTTTGAGTATAATTTTTTGTGTGTGTGTGTGTGACCTGTTTTTTACCTTCAGATCCTGAGACGGTATGTTTGGATAACTACCCGATCCACACCATCACAGGCCTCATTAAACGCTGGCTCAGAGAGCTGCCTGACCCCCTCATGACATTTTCTCTCTACCACGACTTTCTGCATGCTGTGGGTGAGGAACTGTTTAAACTTTGAGCACTTTTTTTTTCAGAAATCCATTAATTCTCTATGACACAGATTTGGCAAAGTCCTACAAACATCCTCTTAGACTTTGGTTCCATGTTTACATGTTAGTGTCACACAGCTTCTCCACATTTTTAATTACCTGCTCAGCCACGTCCCAAAGGTCCTCCACTTTATTGAGATCTGGAGACTGTGGAGGTCATTTAAGTACAGTGAACTAACTGTTCAAGAAACCAGTTTGAGATGATTTGAGCTTTTTGACACAAGAGCAATGAGACAATGTGATCTTCGTTTGGCACAGTTGGTAACAATATGCAGGTAGGTGTGGCATTCTGAGATGCTTATCAGGGCATTTTCGGCCAGAGAACTCCTGTTCATTCGGTTTCTGATCATTCTCTGTAAACGTTGTGTAAGAAATCCCAGTAGATAAGCACTTTCTGAAATAATCAGACCTGCCTGTCTGGTACAAACAACCACATCACACCACAAAGTCTACTTTCTTCTGCATTCTGATGCTCAGTTTGAATTTAAGCTTGCTATTTTTACCATGTCTATATGTTTAAATGCATTGACTTGTTGTCATGCATTTGGTTAATTAGATATTTGTGTTAATAAACAGTTGAACATGTGTAACTAATAATGTGGCCTGCTATGTGTATATGTTATTGCTTAAAAAGAAACATAGCAGTTATAACTGTGACTATTCTGCATAATATTGACAGACACTATGTACATGTTGACTCTGTGTTTCAATGGTGACTTTAAGATTTTCGGTATTTTCAAATATAAACA